TGCAGGTCTAGTGCACCCGATGTGACTACGTGTTAGATAGCAAGACCTCTTATGCAATGGACTATGATCCCTGTTTATGTAAGCGTGGTGCAAGTTTTGTGGATTTTCATTGACGTGGAAGGAAGGTGGACGAAAATGAGGGCTGGAGTCATAAAATCGTGGATATGGCTGGGTTCCGGTGGGGCCTCAAGAGACCGGAGACTCCATAAAGCCGGGTAACTCCAGATCTTCGAGCTCACCGGCAGCCGGTAGTGCAATACCGGTAGACTACGAGTACTATTCGAGTACAGTACCGGTACAGACTCGCAGTGTCGAGACGTTTTCAAAAAGAGCTGCATTGCATACCATCCAGATCCAAGCGGGGGCCGAATTTTGGTGGTACGCAAGAGCAGTCCTTTTAAAAAACTCTTCGACATGACAAGTATCGTACCGTACGCTACCCGAGTACGAGTAATTTACCGGCAGCAGTCATCAATGGGGACAACAGCGGAAAAAAAAACTGTGGGTGACGAACAGGGACCAGTAGCCGGCACCGGCACCTACCGGTATCCTCCGCCACCGCGCTCCAACCAATTCACTCTCTCGCCCGCCAAAATACCCCCCCGTTCGTCAACCGTTCCGTTGAAAGCTGTACCGGCATCCCTAGATCTTGTGAGAGATGAGTTACCCCAGAATTCTATCGACCAATCAAATCGTAGGGATCCCTTTCACCTGAGCTTCACAACTAAGTTAACCCAGAACGATAAACCTACAATACCGGCATCATACCAGTAAAAAGTCCGCTGACGTCGAATAAAATTAAGGGATGCCGAAAGAGCCCCGGGAAATAAGAACGACCCATAGCCAGGTCTCCCAGCCAGGGTGACCACAAATTGACAGAAACTACGGGGACAAAATGGGGGAGGGCTGTATTCTATACAGCTTGGTTATTTCCCATGAAGAGCAAGTCCTTAGCAGAGCTTGACGCTCAAAACTGGCCTCTTGACCGCGGTCGTAGACGCGAGACGCAGTTTTGTACTCCATGGTTGATAATCACCCAAGATTCACGTTCATTAACTCCAAGTGCCCCTAGTAAACGGCAATATTCCTATGCTGAATCCACCAGATTCACCAGCGAGAGCAGCATATTTTGATTCAAGGAACCCCCGGCATTATTTAGTCCCTCAAGTAAGGCTAGGTTCTCACGACAGGTTCTTCTCGGAAAGGGAGCTGCGGAGTGCGCCGCGTTTTACCCTTACTGCGTGTGCCGGGTGTCACTCGGCTTCCCCGGATAACTTAGACTAGGGCTTATCTAAGGAAGGTATCGTACCGAGCCAACCAGAACTATGGGCTCACCCCAGTAATGCTGTTGATTTTCGTGGGATGGATGACTAGTTTGCCCTCCCTCGTCCTCCCTCACCCATCCCCCCTTTCCCTGCTACAACCCACATATCATTCACCTTTATCTGTCTACTGCTATCCTCACCCCAGTCTCATTCCCCCAACTTGCAACAACTAGGTCTTCAAGAAATAAATACCATGTCTTCCAACACAGCTCACCGCATTGACGAATCTGAAGCTCAAGAGGCTTTTATGTCCTCCTGCATTGGTAAGTCTATCAATACACTTTCAAAGGGCTCGATATTGACCCGGAATATTACAGATCTCATTAGCTCCGCTCTTGGTGGCCAAGTCATCGAATTTAGTGACCAATGGTTTGCTGCTGCCGAGAACTTAATCAACCCAGCTCCTCCGATTGGCAGACCCGGCGTGTTTGTACCTACGGGTGCTTGGTACGACGGGTTTGTTCCCCCCCTCTTAGAGATTCTGCAATGCTAATATGCTGTCAATTCAAGATGGGAGACGAGAAGACACAACAAAGCCCCTGCCGATTGGGTCATCATTAAAGTAGGTACCATACCAGTGCAAAGGAAGATTCACAACAAAAAAATATGTTGGTGCTAACCACCGATAGCTTGGAGTTGCCAGTGGTAGAGTCCATGGTTTCGAGGTCGACACAGCTTTTTTCAAAGGAAACTATGCTCCGGCAGTCACCGTTGAGGGCACCTTCCTTGATGGCAGCCACCCAGACACAAGCACGGTAGTGAGTGGATCATTCCACTAAATCAGTTCAATCTAACACCCAACTCTTTGAAGTGGGAAGAAATCCTCCCAATGCAGGAATGCGGCCCTTCTCAGAGACACATCTGGAAGCTTAGCTCTCCCACTACCAAAGCTTATTCCCATGTCCGCCTCAATATGTTCCCGGACGGGGGTATGTTCTTACTAGATTACACCACAACAAACCCCAGTAGTACTAATATGCCGTTAGGAATTGCCCGCTTCCGCTTGTTTGGAACTGCAGTCCCTGTCTTCCCCAGCGATCCGGACGCGATTATTGACCTTGCTCACGTCTCCTCCGGTGGTCTCGCAATCTCCTGCAGTGAACAAAATTTTGGAACAAAAAAGGACAATCTGTTGCTTCCCGGAAGAGGTAAGAACGCGGGAAATGGTTGGGAGACAAAGCGCAGTCGTGAGCCGGGCCATGTAGACTGGGTTGTTGTCAAACTCGTACGTCATTCCCTTACTCCAGCCGAAACCCCTGAGCTACGCTAATAGGTCTCATCACAAAGGGAGCTCCGGGATACATTGAAGAGGTTATAGTTGATACCCTCCACTTCCGTGGAAACTACCCCCAAGCTGTTGAAATCTACGCTATCAATTCCCCCGAGCAACATGTTGCCGGTGATGCCAATGGGTGGGAACTTATCGTTCCTGCACAAGCTTGTGAGGCGGATAAGGAACATGCATTCCCGTCTGCCTTCCTCCAGAACGTTAACGGAAAAGTTGTTACTCATGTTAAAATGGTCATCATTCCTGACGGAGGAGTGAAGCGCCTGAGAGTCTTTGGGAAGCGTGCTCGTAACTAAACTTGGGACTGTCCTCTTGACACACCCTAAACCCATAGCAGCAAAATAGCAGGGATCTTTTTTCATAGAAGCACCCAACAATAGATCTTCATTTCCCGCCAATTAATTTCCCTGCTGCGTCCCCACCCCGAGCTTCCGTTCTAACCCCGTACCCACCTGTGCTAAAAAAGCCACGACTCGAGTGACTTATAGTATGATACAAGCCTACAGAGAAGACAAGCGGATGCCAATTCTTGGCTCGGAGACACGAGCAGGATGTGGGAGATGTGGAACCCTTTGTGGCTCCGATAAAATGAGTGTGGTTTTATTAGAACCTACACATGGGCACCCAACACCAGAACTTTTTTTTCTAGCGTAGCCATATAAAGCTTTTACTGTAGAAAAAAACAACCCATCAGCCCGAAATAAGGCACTGTTTGGCACACCACCACCTTATAAAAAAGCGCCGTTTTTCCTGAAAACCTGACTTCTGCTAAAACTCGAATCTCTTTTGACCAGAGAGCACTAAAAAATCCATGTACTGTACACATAACTACACAACCAACGGTTGTGATGAAACAAAAATCGATTAGGCGCCCGTACAGTACTCGAGTACGAAGTACCGCGCAGTGCCGTACTCGAACATCGAGCTATAGTCAAAGAAGTTCAATGTTGAAATATTTCAGAAAAATACCATTTTCTGTCATGCCAAGCAGGGCCTAAAAGAGTAAAATTAAATACACGCCAAACCAGAAAAACTACAAGTATGATACAGTACAGTATACCGGTGAAACCTCCTTCCCGAGTGATCCCATATGAACATAAACATCTCCACCACTACCATCATGCACTAATTCCCCATTAATAACCGTAGCAAGTGCTCAATCTCTATAATGCACCCATCCAGATATATGTGCGCCGACCAACTCAATTAGAAGCCCCAACGGACAAAGGAGAAAGAAATTATCTACAACCCCCCCCCTCTACTTAATCATCTTCGAAAAGCCCCTCGATAGCTTTATAATTAATCTTCTTGGAATAACTCCTGCGCATGAGCATATTCTTCGCACTATCGGCAGGTGTAGCGGCCATATCCTCGCTGTTGCTGTCGCGGGGTTTATTCCTCTTGCGCTTTCTAGCAGTTTTGATGATGCCGTTGCGGAGGTCCGTTTCCTTCTTTAGGCGTTTCACTACAACACCCACGTTAGCCACGCCGTGGTGCTCATGCAGGGGTTTTTATTTTATTCTATTTTGTTGCCTAAATAAGGAGGGAAAAACTTGCATTCTTGCTCACGCAAATAATCCTTGTTAAACTCCACCCAGATCTTCTCCTTCAGATTGCGCTCCTCTTCGGTGAGTAGGGCATTCTGGACTTCAAAGTCGTCGTCGACGTCGTCGAGGTTGTCTGGGTCATCTGATATGGTGGAGGCGGCGCGTTCCTCGCGCGCTTGACGGTCGGCCTCTCGGAGCTCTTCCATGATCACTGCTGCGGAGCCATCTAGTAGGGAGGCGATCTCGGATTCGATCACTTCCTCGGCGATGGCAGAGTGTTGGTCTTCTTGGGCCTTTCCGGTTCCTTGCGGCATGGCGGGGTCTGTGGTATCGATTGGTGTTCCGGGGAGCGAAGATGTGGGGAGTGGTGAGGGGATGGGGAGCTCTGGGATTACGAAGCCGTCTGCGTCCAGTCTGAGGGGTCTATCGAGGAGCATAACTGGTGTTGCGGCGGCGCTAGGAGGAGCGCTAGGAAGAGTGCTGGGGGGGGGGGTTGGAGCCACGGGAGTAGTGACAATAGTGATATCCTGGGGATCCTCGACAACTTCTCCATCATCGTTAACGTCCCTTACCCTCTTGTGTTTCTTCGAGGCTTTCGGTCCGTAGCTGGGTGGGTCGTGCGCTTGCTCAAGCCATATATTCCTGAATTCCTCAACTGTCAAGTCTCCGCTCTTGGTATCTTTGAATTCGTCCAGCCGCTTCTGGATAGTCAAGTCTGCTACTTTAACAACGTAAACTACCTCTCTAACAGAACGGCGGAAATTGTTCATGCGGGCTGCGAGGATCAATGCAGCGCCGCAAATACCCGACGGTCGACGGCCTTGAACCATCCAATCGCGTGACATACGCTGGATGATACGAAGGGCATCGTTAGCGACCTTGGTCTGTTCGCTACCGAAGTCGAGGTGCTTTGCGAAACGGTAGACGTAGACCGTAGGATCTATGTGTGGTAATCGGACCTCGAGGATTTGAACGAGTTGAAGATAGGTGTGGCCGAGTGAGAAGACATTGACCTGGAACGCTGTTAACGGAAAGAAGTCCGTCGATCTTCAAGTGGAAAACCTACATTGAGTATGTCCGAGAAGTCAATGAGCATGTGGGAGCTCTTTTCGAGACGGCAGACAATGTACAGGCAACAGGCGATAACAAATTGTGTTTTACGACCTCTATTAAAGTTGTGCGTGACTGATAGGGTGAACCATCGTTGGGCGTGATCCGCAAAATGTTCGGGACAATTGACAGCACCAGCGAGTTCAACAATTTTGCGACGTCCTATAAACTCCCGCCGGGTCAGGAGCAAAGCAGGCAGCGAAGTGGAATAGAAGTAAAAAATCAAACTCACCATTTTGAATTATCTGTTCCCGACTCTCAAGACTATTCCCACTCCTAAACCTTCCCCCACCCCCACCAGCATGAGTCTGCCCTTCGGCAACATAACTCCCCTGAACTCTGGCAGCTCCACTGCTAGTCTCCCCAAAAGAAATTTCGGAAACGATAAAGGAGTCGTTAACGACGTGGCCACAATTCGTGCAGACAAGTCTCCCGGTGGAATCATCGAAGTCGGTGGGGTTCGAACTCCCACAAGAGGGGCAGGTAATCGACATAGTGACTAATTCGGACAACGACGGGGCGAGAGTTGCAACCGCTACGGCAAGCGAGTCGAAGGCGGCGCACCCCGCGAAAATAGTCGGATATGCACTTCACTTGCACAAGAGGACGCTTATGTTTCGACGACGAGACAGGGGGAATGATAAAAAAGAAGCAAAAGAGAAAAAGGGATGGCGGTGTAAATTCCTATGCTGTAGAACGGGTCGTTAGAGGGAGAGGAAAAGTGAGGGCACGTGAAGTGCGAAGTAAAGGTTAAGTGGGATGGGGTTCAAGAGGCCAGCAGAGGGGGTATGTAGGCTGTGTTCGAGCCACTCGAGTATGATACCAACCTGGTTAGCCCTTTCCGGGTGATGGGGATTATATAAGCATCTCGAGATCTTGGCTATTGAGGCTCACGATCTCTCTCCGGGTGTCACTGGCGAAATGTTTGGGAAGTGGAGCTCTCTTCCCGCCATACGGCACATTTCTTAGAAGCCCGGGAAAACAGTTCCCTGTGGTTATCTCAGCCCTGCTACAGATCCATAACCCTCAAAATCGACCAACGCTCTCCACGAGCAAACATTCCAACCCTAACCCTTCGGTACACCTTGGGGAGTAGAACCCACGTAGGAAACGGCCTTGACACGATAGTCAGGTAGACTATGATAACTTAGAGCAGTTAAGATATCTGTGGGTCGGATCGGTCATTCGCCCATACCCTGTCTTGGTTTTTTTTTCTGGACAATGGGAGGTATAACACGAGTGATATCTTGTGAAACAACATGCTGGGAGCACACCGGAGAGTTTCTTGGAGCCCAAAGGCTTCGAAATCCGTAGACGATCGAAACAAATCACCAAACCACAACCTCGCAGTGATGTGAAGCTGCCTCAGGGGCAAAAAAAGAGTCTACTTATGTTTCATCAACCTATGAATTCTTTCAGTTTTGGTCTCAAAGTTCGGGTATGGGGACTATCACCCCTCAGGGGGACTTCGCAATAAACACAACGAGCGGAAGTGGTAGATGTCACAATAGAACTTGACTCCCCTTCCCCTCCCCCAGAGTGCCATAGTATTTCTGCAGAATATAAAGATAGTCCTGCTATACTACTCTCTATACTCTCGAGTATTTGAGTACAACATGATACAGTATTCACGATAGAATCTTATGCAAATTTTTATGACTTCAGCACAAGACAACGCTCCTCTACCTATATAGTAGCTGAGGCCAGTTGGGGGAGCACTAGTGGAGTCGGTACCCGCTCCGGTTCTTATAAATTATGAGTTAGATAGTAGAGAAACTTGGGCTCTTTTAGCATAGTAAGCAAGTTCCATCACTCGCAACAAATACTAGCAGTGAGACAGTCAATTGGTACGGACACCCCCGCACTGAGGGTGGTTAGTCGACATGCTATTTGGAATCATTCTAAACTGTGAAATTCAAAAAGCACCAATTTTTCTCATTCCATTCTCGCTGGACGAGCGGATTCGTAAGCACAGATAGGCCACAAGAAAGCACTCCTTATCCCCGCTGGTTAGAGCACTCTACTTATTCGTCCACCATAAACACGGGTTGTCTCCAGCATCGGTGCGTCCAGCCACTGTCTACTCCCCGGCTACAGGCATCAACTGCAAATATGAAGTTCTTCAAGTACTCCACGTGCCCCTGCCGCAGAGAGTCAGGTAAGAGCAGTTGTGTAAGCGCAATCTCTATACCAACAGCAGCACCACCAACAGCACCAACAGGGTCCCGCTGCTTTATCCTGGGTCTCAGCGGAGCCGGAAAGTCCACGTTTCTATGCAGAATAAAGACAGGAAAATTTCAAGAGACACAGCCTACAGAGGACTATGACGGTATTATACCAACCCAACCCAACCCAACCCAGCGGCCCACTAGCCTACCGCACTGCCGGTGCACTAGAACAATAAACTGACAGAACACAAAATAACCAACAGTCCAAGAGATCCCCTTCTCAAACCAGACCATAAACTTCACAGAGATAGCCAGAAGCGACCGCCGCAACTTCCGCCTTCAATTCCCGCACTTGACACCTCTATCCCCCATCGCTCTACTCTTCTTCATAGACGTTAGTAGAGGAGACCCAGGAGTCATCATGGAATCGTTGGAGGAACTGGTTTACGCATTGGAGTACGTGAGGAGCAGAGAGTGCCAAGTACGCTATTTGGGGATTGTCCTCAACAAGCAGGATTTGCTCGGTGATCGCTGGAGGGGGCCACTGCAGGTTGTCGAGGGGGTGATTTGCGAGACCATGGAGGGGCTGCTCCCCTGGCAGCAGGTGAAGCAGGATGCGCAGGAGTTGGTGGTGCCGCTGCGCTGGGAGTTGTTTGGTGACGGGGTCAGTATGAAGACCGGTGCTGGGGTCGAGCGGATCTTGAGGAGTGTTGGAGCTGGGATAATGACGAAGGAGGAAGCACAGGGAGAGAAGTAGGGGGGGGAACCTGCTAGGGACAAGGCTGCATGATAAAATTACGTGATTCCTTTTTTCTCTCCGTACGAGTGCTCGAGTACCAGTACAGTACTGGCACCGTAGCCCGTGCGTACTGGTACAGCGGGAATGTATGATACCGCATAAACTGGTTAAACTGGAAGTGGCGCTTGTGCAGCCAATTTTTTTTTAGTGTAGCTCAATAGGCGAGTGGGATTAAAGCTCTTCAGGAAACTCTTTCCCTCGAAGGAGTAAAAACTTTTGTAGGAACAAGGCCCTAGGCAAATGACCTTTAGAATCTGACTGTAGCGGGCAGCTTTCTTACGAATCTCGCTCGCCTGTTGAGCTGCGCTTTGCTCAGATACCTGGGCCAGTCCGCGAACATTCCCAATGAATAGTCGTTTCTAATATGCAGCTAAGCCTATTGACTGTGAAGAGAAGAAACTCTGTAAACGTTATTCCATTTTGTTATTGTTTTCGTATGTTGGGATTTGGCGGTCCCGGCCCTGATTTCCGGCTCTTGCTGCAGATTGCGCGGTTGGTGTCAAAACAGTGGTACAGGTGTTGTTTGTTTTGCTAGCTTGAAGCCAGGTTGGTATAAGTCGGGATAAATCTGAGAGATAGTGGATGCTTTGCGATTTTCCTATTCGCCAGAAGGGTATCCATGGCAGTTTGCCCAATATCCCGGCGCTCACGGATTAACTTCCGTATCCGAGTACCCGACTGCTCTAACGCGATTTCTAGTTTAATGAGTTAATGTGGTAGTTCAATCCTAGCGTTACGCTGGGTTATGCTTGCCCCGCGAGAAACGTTCTCTATTTTTCTATGCCTTGCTGTGCTTTACTCAAGCAGAGTTGAGCCCCGTGCTAATTGTGGAGTTCAAATCAAATACTCGAGTACCGTATCATACAGAGATGAGTGGAGATCGTGACCCGTTCAATAAGATCTTCTCTCGATTGAAAAAGGCATCTGCACGACGATCGGGGAGGCCAACAAAACGGATCAAGAATGACAACTCCGGAAAACACACACAACACTAGTACCCACGCCCCACAGGGACGAGGGTGCATAGGTTGTTGTCAAGGCCCTACCGGTACCGGACACTGCAAGCGACCACCAGTTGAGTCCGGAATCCAATGACCTGCCCCGGTCCCAGATACCGTACTGTGTGTACGAGTACTATACCACGCACGCAAGAGGGCCTGGATCGCGAGAGAAAGCTTGGTAGTGTATCATCACTGTTGTTGAGTTATTATTACCAAAGAGCCAAGGCAGCAAGATGGAGGGGCGTGCAACATTACATCACGCACGAGTATTTCCTTTTTTCCCTACATCCATTCAATTAACCCCAACGATCACCAACTCCATCTCATGCCCCCCAGATTTTCTGTACTCGTACTCGAGTGTGGGCAGAATGGATCGCCGTTGGGTCCGCACTTTGCACACATTGCAGTAACTGCGCAGAAGCACAAGCTACAAATGCGCGCAGCCAAGAAAGCTTGAGGAGGGGGGGGAGGGGACAAGAAATAAAGTAAAAGTTGGAAATCTCTTAAAACCTGTCGAAGCTGATATTGTTATGCACCAACGTGGAAATAATTCCTTGTCGTTTGCCGATCAATGTTCGATACCGGGATAGTGAGTAAGCCAGGCCGAATCGGTGATACTCGAGTACTAATTCGACCGATCGACCATTATACGAGTTTTCCCGACCATGCGGGGATCCCGGTATTTATTAAGGGGGAATTTTGGCTTTTTTCATAGCGGTGTTCTGAAGCCGAAGTATAATGAAATACATCACCTCAGCTTTGAAAGAAGAGGAGTAGGTATGTAGAAGTGGGAATACTGTAGTAAAACAAGAATTTAATACATGGCGTAGAGTGATCGAACTAGGTGATTAGACGAGTGATAGGCAATGATGGCAATTGTGGGAGGGGGGAGGGCGTCCGCATGCCGAGATGAATAAGCCTGAGAAGAGTATCCAGGAGGACTGAGTAAGGGCGGTATCCATATGAGCCGTTGCAAAATTGAGGCTAGCGCCTTTTTTTGGCTTGTGGGGAGAACCCGTGGCTACCGTAACTTGGAACTTACTCAGTCGAAGCGTTGGTGGAGTACTCCTGTGTGGTTTGCTCGAAAGCTTCTGATGATAGTCTAAAGCTGGAGCAATCCAGGTGCTTTTCACGCTGGAAAATGTCGCGCCGGTGGGTAGTGATGGTGGTATCCGCTGTGTTTGTATGCGCGAAGGTTTGCTTTCGGGCGGTTATCGAGTGTCTGGTCTGGCTGATTGTGCCCGGTCCCCCGCAGTCAGCGAAGTCTGGAGCTATTTCAACTACCCAGATTTATTCTTCAAGCTATCCCCTCGAACAAGAGTTCTTTAAGGCATCATACCCGATTCCTACCGGACTAGTACTCGCACCTACATCCAAGGTTCCCGGTATGAGCAAAATCTTATCGTAGACAGTGTACCATCCCCTTTTCCAACGTGCCGTAACCTGGCTTGGTTTTTAGGCAAGATCGCAGGGGTCCGGGGTTCAAAGGAACAAGGAACTTAAGCTCTATTTCTTTTATCCCGCCGGTTTGCTATCTTCAGTAGAGATTTGTGTTCCGATCGACCCTTTGGTGGGCCACCTACCAGTACCTCTACCGATTAGAGAGAAAATGACTATTTGCTGCAATGAACATGGTATATGTTTATATGGCACCGGGGCGTATAATTGAAGCAACCCCGTTTCAATTCCTGGTCGACTGTGCATGCTAAGAATGTTCGCAGAGCTAGTGCTAGAACAAAATACTCGAGCTAATAACTGTTTTCCATCAAAACCAAGCCCCCTCAACGAATACGGGGGTTCCACTGAAGGTTTATGGGATTAAGAAACCACAGATAACATGGAGCAAAAGTGGCTGCAATGTGTCCTTTGCATGGCACACCCATGATAAGAAGCGTTAAGTAACTTCTAGATCTTACCACCTCATGGCGTAAAACATCACAAGTTGTCAATTCGCAGGCCTTATACTTCCATTATATAGAAATAAATACTTGAGTAGTTCTCACGACTCTTACAGCTTCCCGAAATTTCTTAGCCTAGTAGTGTCGAGCTATGAATCTCCGCAAATGGCTAGTTTTGGTGCAAAATGTCTAGCGGCCCGAGTTTTTTGTCACCCATAACAACCGGCACCCACCAACCAGAGCCCCTGCCAAGAACGGACGAAAGGCTCAGATTAAGACCTCCGCAATCTCTCGACTCTCACGACTTCATGATCTCTCCGTCAATCAAGCTAATGTTTTCGAATGAGTCTTGATACTATCAATTGTTGCTTTCTTTCTTCTCTTGTATTTGTCTCAATCCGTAATCCCACCGCCCGTTTCTCTAAAAAGCTCCCCCCGAGATCGATCCCTGGCGGGCGGCTACCGCCGATATTCAATAGCCCACTAGATCCCTATTCCTTGACGACTCTCAGCTAGCTTGTCATCACCCCATCCAACCCACGAAGACGGTAGAAGATGTCGTATAACTCTGCAGACTACTGGAGCAGTTCTAAGGGCTCGGATGATCCATTCGAAAAATACAAATCCCAACGAAGCGCTCGAGGTGGGCTTCCGAGCTTCAGATCACGCAAGAAAGGTCAGATCACAGCGAGGCTCTTAAGGCTTGTAGCGTTCGTGTTTATCTTTGGTGTGCTCCTGACCATTTACTGGCAGTCCAATGGCGCCTATTCGGCACCCGGATCAGTTTCCCATGTAAAACCGGCACCTGTTGGAAGACCACCAAAGCCGAAACCAGCCAAGGATACGAGACAGATAGGCAAAGAGAAGGCTACGTTAGTAATGCTTGTTCGGTACTCTATCTCCGAAATTCTCCATTGCATAGTCCACTCTCAGCTGATTTTTACATTGTTTTTTGGCGCAGAAATTCAGAGCTCAAAGATGCCCTTGGCTCTATGAAACAGATCGAGGATCGATTTAACCGTCATTACCAGTACCCTTGGACCTTCCTTAACGACGAGCCCTTTACCGAAGGGTTTAAAAATCATACCACTCGGATGGCGTCAGGAACGACAGAGTATGGGTTGATTCCCAAAGAGCAGTGGAGCATGCCGGATTGGATCTCTGAAGATAAGTTCCAGAAAGTCATTTCAAAAATGTCGAAGGAGAATGTGATATATGGCGATTCTCGGACTTATCGACATATGTGTCGCTACAACTCTGGCTTTTTCTTCAGAGACAAGCTTCTAGCCAAGTACGACTGGTGAGTTTACATTCCGACGCGCATGGGTCTATGCCCACACTGGTCGGCATATGGCTTCCCATTTCACCATTTTGCTTACGGACGGGTGTCCGCAGGTATTGGCGTGTGGAACCAAGCATCGGGTTCTACTGCGATATGACCTATGATCCGTTCACATTCATGCGCGAAAATAAGAAGAGATATTCATTTGTGATTTCGTTACCGGAATATCTCCCGACAATTGAGACACTGTGGAAGACAACTCAGGAATTCGCCAAGCTGCATCCGGAGCATATCGCAAGAAACAATTCATTGGGCTTCATAGCAACTGACCCCGATAAAGGGTGACACCCCCCTAACCACTCCCCACTTCCTCCACATGTCACCACTGCATGCCACTAACACCCCACTAGAATTCAAGAAACCGACTACAATCTTTGCCATTTCTGGTCCAATTTCGAGATTGCAGACCTCAATTTCTGGCGAGGAGAAGCATACCAGAAGTACTTTGAATTCCTTGACAAAAAAGGGGGGTTCTACTACGAAAGATGGGGCGATGCACCTGTTCACTCTATAGCGGCTGCTCTGTTCCTCCCCAGGGATCAGATCCACTTTTTCGGAGACGTTGGCTACAAACACGTTCCATGGTACCATTCCCTTGCCTCAGATACCCTCCCCTTTCCCCCGCGATCCATACAGCAGACCTAACAGCCGGACGTTTAGGGGTCGATGCCCGCTGGATGATGAAAGCCATGATACTGCAAGGTGCATGTGCCCTTTTGACCGCAAGGAGAGCTTTGACTACAATCAATGGAGTTGCCAGAACAAGTGGAACAAATTCTGCGGTGGGTCACTCGATCTAATCTCATGAGACTCTCTGGGACTGACTTTCGCATAGGATTTCCTGAAAACCCTATATATGAATGAGCAACCCATTATCGTACTATTTCATGACCGTTTTTATTCTTGCCCTGATAAAGTTATTCTTTTACACCAAGAGGAATCGTAGTTTAGAAGGGTAGCTCAAGGCATTTCTTTATTTTAGTTTTGCGCTTTTCCCCATTTATTTTCTTCACAAAACGGCGTTAGTAAATGGGAAAAATGGGGTCATAGGAAAGTCAAAAACGCATACTGCGCAAAAAATGATCGACAAAAAAAAAACCCCCGTGATGAGATATTAAGAAAAAAAAAACAAAAACACTTGTACCGTACTCACCACACTCAAACCTCCTCCCTCGCGCCATCAACAACAAAGAACCCCCCTTCCTTCTTCGCCGCCAAGCGCATAACATCCCACTTCACCTCCCCCTCCCCCTCCCCTCCTCCCGCCCGCAAATCCCGCAAACGAACAACTCCCTCCTCCGCAGCACCAACCTCATCCCTTATCCCCCTCAGCGGCTCCACCCCCTCCGTGTCCAGGGCCGCAAGGGCACGCACGAAATGCAAGTGACCGCGCAGGTCCGCCGCCCCATCGCCGGCACCACCACTCAGGGGCAGGGCGGAAAGACGGTGCAAGTGCTCGATCGTGGCACGTCGTACGGTTTTCTCCGTCGCTGTTGCCGTAGGGAGGAGAGCGCGAACGGACCAGGCGGGCGGTTTCAGGAATTTCATTTCTAGTTTTTTTTTTTCCTTTTAGTGACGATGATGAAAGGAAGAAAGAAAGGATGGGCGGGGGGGATGTTGCGGTCGATAGGGGGGATCGCGGGGTGACTTGGCGCTGCGTTGGGGTCATTTTGTGTCACTCGGTTGCGAACTTGCGATTCGTGCGAACTTACCCGTACTGTACAGTATCATACCGCATGATACGGTAGTCTACGAGTACCCGTCTGATGTTGTATGGCAGGCTAAGTGTGCGGACATGATGGCGGGGGAGGGAGGGGAAGGAGGGGTAAGGGTGCACGGTACTCGTTCAGTGCTAGTACTGTACCTTGCAGTTGCTAGTATAACTTTCTCGGGTTTATGTGCCCGGAGGTGGATTGTGCTCTACTGTGCCGGTATGCTGCTGAAAGTGATCTGCAAGCGGGCCCACCCCACCCAACCCTGCAAAACCCGCTTTCTACTCTACGGGGCAAGAGGCGCCACAGCATAAGCGGAAGTTTCTCCCTTATCACACTGGTTACTGTATTCTATGATATCACATTTGACAGAACACACCCTTTACCAATCCCATACAATCGGAACCAAAGACCACTTAGACTACACCGTATTGGAGAAGAAGAAGACCCTTCTTAGTACACTACGCTACGTTGGGAGGGGGGGGGGACTCCTTACCGTGATAAAGGCCGATCGAATTCTTATAGAAGCATCAGTCACGTTCGTACCTGGTACCTCTTTGAGTATGATACTCGAGTAGATATATCATACCATGCACAACCTGGTTTGGCAACCGCGCAAGTACCGGTACTCTACCGTACTCTAATCAGGGTGGTTACTGTATGTCTCTATTCACATTCACATGTCGAAGTAAGGTACAGTACAGTAGAATGCAGAGCACAGCACCACTATTCACTCCACCGTGAACACAAAAAAAAAAACTCGAGTCGCTCTCACCACCACCACAAGCTCACTGGGAAACAAACGCGCCCGAGCAGCGTGCTGCATACTTGGTAACGTCAATCAGCACATGCAAGCAACACCAAGATCAGCTCCACCACCGCGGTCGTGCTCGTTCGTGACGAGAATAAACAGTCTAGTTTTTCACACTTCCGCGCGAGTACCGTTGCAGCGCTCGTAACTGTGGTGAAAAACGTCACGGAAATATCCTGCGCGCCTCTCTAGGTATCATATTGGCAACTGTAAGGAGAATTCCGGGGGTCGAGTTCATTTATTTATTTATCCATGTCCCTTGCCAACGCCTGTGTCTTTATCCTACACACTGTGTTCGTCTTACACACTGTAGCTGACTCATGTTGCCTGAGGGATTCCGCCTTTGCGGTTATCGTGCGAGGGGTATGATACCGGTACCGGTGCTGTGCCTCCCGTTATCGTTTTTTTATTTTTTCCCCTTTCTTCCTTCTTTCTTTTTGTTTTCTTTTCTGTTTCACAGTGAATTCAGGTAAAACCGCCCAATTCCCCACCATAATATGCCTGCTTGAGTGCGTGAGCGCGTCAGTTTTTGCTTTTGCTTTTGCTTTTGCTTGTTGCTTTTTTTGTTTCTGGTTTTTGTTTTTAGCTTTTCCTTGGGAGCCGAGAGGAAGATAATTTAGATAAAGGCCTCTTTCTATATATATATATATATCCACATACATACTTATATGCACATACGTGCATGATAGATAGCAGCCCAATCTCGTGCCTTATGGGATATTGGAGTGGGCATGGGTAGATGGACGGGCGTTGTAGCCATAAGAGTGGATAAATTGCTAGCGAGGAGTGACTGGGGGTGGTACTTGGTTTCTTTTCTGCGAAAGGCAAGACGGTACTTGCAACGTATGAAAACGTGCTGGATTGACGGCTGTGAGATTTGTCGTGATCAGAGCTGGATTGGCCTGCGATTCGGTTGAATGTCCGAGTTTTTTTTTTTAGAAAAGCCTTTTGGCATACTGTATGTTCGCACAAGAAGAAGGGCAGAAGAAGGGGAAGAATAGAAGGCGGAGTACCGTGGAGTGTTACTCGTACAGTTCTCACACACTAACCCTGTTGTGTTGACGGTGGATGGATGGGTAGACGAGCCCATCACTAAAGCAGATGTCCAGAATAGTGCTGTATCAGAACATCAAAGGCTCGGGGATCGACTCCAAGCCGGGTTTTACCACATCCATCTGACGTCTGAGGACTTGACTGGACTAGGGATGGAAGGGGCTAAAAAATAAAAGAAAATAAAAAGGATGGCTGCTGCATGAGCCTTTGGACACCATAGCGTCTGAATTTCATAACTAATCGATAAGAGGCAGAAGGGTGTACGTGGAAATTGTTGAAAATAATAAAAAATTCGACCTATCAGAATATTAGACGGCCCTCCTTCTGCTTCGCGCACACATGTCTGTGGGAAGAAAGGAAAAAAAGGCGTGAGAAAAAGATAGACATTATGATAGAAAGGTAGTGCTGTGGCGTCATTGGCGGAGCCAATATTGCGGGGTAAAATAAAAGGGAATCCTGGTGTACCGTACTCGAGTATGATACTCGAGCAGCTTCGACCGCACCCTAACCTTTTTTGACATTTTGGACTGTGATGATGGTGGTGATGATGGAGGTGGAGCAGGGGGGGAGGGTAATGATGATGATGACCTTTGAGGCGTAAGAGACGCTACGAGTACGAAGCTGCAGCTCCGGGCTCCAGGGTCGATCAATGCTTCTGCTATATTCCCTACAGCAAGGGCCATTGGGTGTCGGTCGTTTTTCTGGTCGCAAAAATGAAAGAGCTATGGAAGAGCTTCCTGGCTGCTGCGCAAATAGGTGAATCGTGCTGTGAAGGTCTCACCTCCACCGTCATCCCCCATGACGATATGAAGCCATTCAAGGCCTAAATGAAATATCAGTGAATATGACGCTCTGCCGATTCACTAGTCTTCTCACGGCTTTTGGATTAGCTACCACGTCTCTTTCCTTCCAGGATCTAAGCGCCGATGTGCATATTTGGGGAAACGTACCGTTATTTTTTGGAAGCGATAGCTATCAATTCTTTGATGGTTGAGGTGAATGAAATCAACCGTAGGTACTTAAGCACAGCGTTAGTACGAGAACGCCCCATGGTAAGTGATAAACCAAACGCCTTTTCCCACCCCTTTTCCCTTAGCTAAGAGGCTTTTTAGTTCGATATAAGTATCATGCACCTGTACTCGAAGTATTCGGGTTGAGACCGGGTGGCTTAAGTTTTTCAGCTCAGGCACCAGAGATCGCGAGAGAAAAAACGATTCAGGGTGTGGATCTGGGTTCGAGGAGGCCCGTGTTTTTTTTGCCTCGTTTATAGAAATGCCGTTACTCAAGTAGGGATGCAAGAGTTCCTAAAGTTCTCGTTGATCACGAGATCTGTCAGCCCTTCTTTTCTTGTGCTGTTCAGACCCCCAAAAAAAGGATTGTACGAGCGCATCCAAGAACCGTCGAGGGCGTATCGGAAATTCCTCTTGGACCCGTTTTTGTTCCTTTCACACCTGTCCGGGAAAAAAAACGTAACAGCAACGTTCACCCAACCCCCATCTCTCCTCAATGACTTACCTTTCACTCGCAGCATTGATGCCTGCAGTCCCGTACCTTATCGTGCCAGTACTTGAGGAGGCGATGTACTGTAACTTACTCGTGATTATACGGGGCTAGTAGCGGAGAACAGTGAACCAAACACGGTATGATACTACCGGTCCTCAAGCAGTCGAGAGCAACAGGGCCATAAGTTACAGTAAAATAAATAAATAAATAAATAAATAAAGCAGCCCCTCTACTTATCTTGGGCGCCAACGGGCATCACCCATCCCAACATATGATGATTGATGCTCATTGCTGACATACATACATACATACTCGAGTACATACATAGCCTACGGGCCTTGTCCTTGCCATCTGATGCAGCAAATTTTTATCCGCCAACCTATTACGAGTATGATACTCGAGTACTCGAGTACCGGTATCATACTCGTACCATAAACCAATAAGGGTCAGCCCTGAGGCTGAGGTACTTATAGAGGTACCAGGACTGTTATCAATGTTTGCCTCATGGCCTCATGAAATGATAAGCCCGTGGAATCAGGTGTGTCTACGAAAATCGGAAACTAAGACTGGCAAAACAGGAATCAGAAGGATCGGGAGATAAGGTTGTCCGGAAGCTCCATTTTGTAACTAGATGTCTTAGACAAGGTGCGTTGCGTCAGGTGATATGTGTTGATGTTGAGTAGGAGACCAATATAAAGCGAACCAAGGGGTAAAGTAAAAAGTATGGATTGCAAGTAAGAAAATCCCAGCCCGACACCTGCTTGAGCAGTTCAATCCAGTTGAGCAGTGCCCGAGCCATGAAGCTCAAATTTTCCGATCGATTTCTCGCAGAACTTCAAAAGCGGCACACCACAGCTCGGCCAAATCCCAACGCTGACTCGATTGAGCAGTGGGATCAAAACACATTCCTTTTGGATCCGATAAAAAAGAGTGGAATAACTTTGATGTGCAGCCAGGGCGATTCTTTCTTGATTTACTTTTTCCCTGCATCCTGGGGACAATGCGAGCTTCTGGCCCAGGATGGCTACCGTAGGTAGATTTGTGCTGGCTGTGAAATTATTCAGTTGCAACACGTCTCCCCATATTTCCCGTGAGCGGATTGGCGTGCGGTAGTGACCACGAGCTTTAGAGGGTGTCTCCATCAAACAGATGCATATATACTCGGGCACCAAGCTACGATACTGATATTGAACTATTTTGAAGGTGTCGTGGCCGCGGAGAGTTCATCTACCGTTAGTCCGTCTCGTGTATGTGTGCATAGGGAACGCTCCACAATACCGGTACGGTATGAACGTGTGCGCTCACACGAGTGTGTACTGTACAGTACATATCGGTAGTCGACCTAAGGTAAAGGGAAGGAGGGCTCAAAAATCCTTTGTCTGTTTCGTTCGGATCAGGCGGCTCTGAACCTCTTTGGTGATCCATCCGTGATTCCCGTGTGTTTCTCCGGAGCGAACGGAGCCTCCGCCATTCCAGCTACTTGGTACCGGTATCGGGAGCTCAAGGAGGGGGAGCTTGCACGTCACTTAAGGAAGCTTCAAGAGTTCGGACGGCGTGGCTATCCTCCACGCACACAGACCCTTCGTGTTCACCAACGACGGCGGTGGCCTGCGAAGTGCTTCGACGACGATAAAGCACTGAATCTCAACAATCACCCTTAGCTTGGTTTCCGATAGCCGAAGCCCAATCACCAACAAGGTGGGAGCGATAACATGATTCGGGTGCGTGGCGGCGGTGTGGCAACGAACCAATACCGTAAGGATCACTTATGATACCGGGAGAGAGCAGAGTCAAAAAAACAAAAAAATCCCGCGAGTGAACCTCACATGACCATAGGATAAGAGAACATGGAGCAGTGAGGAACGAAAAGGCATTTCCACCACCATACCACCATCATGGCCATTTTGTCTCACGTTTCTGCTCGGCACCAAAGTACTTGTACCGGCCCTACCGTGAGCGTTAGTTTTACCATAAAATCTGGTTCCAATCAGGCGGACGAACGTGATCCATTCCCTACTCGTAGTGTCTTTTTATGGAAAGTTACGCTGGTGGGGGGGGTGTGAGTGGGTGTGAGTGGGCCAGCCAGGACATTGACATCGGAAGAAAAGCAAATACCACAATAACGGCCCAGCCAAAAGGATTTAAGTTCGGACCACGAGGAGAAATAGAAAGAAGTAAAACAAAAAACAAAATAATAATAATAACAGTTATTATGCAAGCTTATGGTGGCATGACGGAGCCATGGTGATATTATTGGAGCATAAGAATCAAAGGGAGACCAATAGAGGTAGTATTACTTTTGCACAGTAGTTCCTCGAGCAGCATTTCTGAAGAGGGGAAATTTTATGGGTTGCATGAGCGATGGAGGTCATCCATTTGTTTATCAAAATGCGGATTTTTTCGGGGAGGGGGTTCCGAAATGGAAGCTGATTGGTTGTGCTGGCAACGACCCTTCGATGAGTTCCTGTTCTGCAACAGCAAACTGCAGGCCTAGCCTATTCTAGTACTCGTACAAACCCCTCTCCTCTAAACCCGTCTTTCCCCCATATGCTAAACGGTGAAGTCCTGTTCCAGAATTCTCCAGTGGGCTAAATGGAACACAAATCAGACCAGGAGGACAGAGCTTGTCGGGACGACCCACAATGGGGTTAAATTAACATCTCGGTCTTGTATATGGGATTACCATACATTTTGCACGGACACCAAGGGCGAGTATGGCTGCGCGGATCAATTGGCTTCCATTGAATTTTGGGACAGAGTTCATGGCCTCTGCTCGAGTACGGTACCGTACCGTACTGCAGCCTCTTCTTTCTTTATGTACTCGAGTAGGTATGATACGGCACTCCATATGACGGCAGTGACGGGGAGTTAGCGTAGGGGTAGCGATATGGATAATAGACCTTGTCAGTTCTGAAGCCCACTCAGCCAGCCATCCAAATCGTTTCTAACCATGTAAATATGTAAATAGTAATAACAATTCCAAAACAAACATAGAGGGAAAGGTGGGAGGCCAGATGGGGGCCGCCTTGCGGTAATCCGTGGCACCGTTATTGTACGAGTAGGATACGGTATGGCACGACTCCCATGAGGATATGGGTGCGGAAGTCTATGGTACTGATAGCACCGTACCGTGTGGAAAGGGAGGAGAGAACATCGGGAATTACGCAGGCCAGTAACGTTCCTTGAATAATATCATACTAATATTTTGTTACCTTCCCCTTCTGCCTTGCCCGCGGAGAGCATGGAGGGGCTGCGTCTTTCTTTCTTCCTTTCTATGGTCCCACAGTCCGGCGATTCCTCTCTTTCCCGCGCGTTCTCTCTTCACAGCGCTCCCCCTCCCTCCCTCCCTCCCTTCAGACACCGGTACCAATAGGGTACATTCACCTCCTCACTCGTTTCTTCCATTCCTCAAGTTCCTCCTTCCCCCCCTCCGTCTTTGCATTCCTATCCCTTGTCCAATTTTCTGCATTAATTCTTTTTTCCTTTTCTGTCGGCTGAGCCAGAATTTTGGCCACAGCAAAATCCGGCAGATCACCACCATTCACTCAAAACTGTGGTCTCACCGAATTGTCGCCTTTACACAACACCACTGTATTTCCCTGTAACCGACCGCACTTTTTTTTCTTCTTTTTTCTTTTTTCTTTTGCTCCTAACTTACTCCTGTGTGCACTCCGCCCATCCCCCCCACCTATCCACCATACTACTCGTACACACATAACAGGCCGGCATACATATGATACATACACACATACATACGTCCATAGACTGCCATACTGTCATACACACGCTTTCGTGAGACCGCTCGTCGCTCCACCCAACACTACCCTCTCTCTCTCCCTTTCTTCATCCACTTCCCGCATTTTTGACATCAGCGGCGACCCGACCTCTGACCCAACTGCCAAACGACGTCGGGGGTTTATTATTTATTTATTTGTTTTCCCGAGGTTACTACTCTTGCAGCAATGACCGTCTTGCAATACTCGTCCTAGCCGGACCCTACAACAAACCAGATATCGATCTCTCGGATCCGACAAACCGTCCTGGTGTCGGAATTCGAGATCTCGGGATAGAGACCACGTTAAATTTTTCGAAGCGGTAGAGATACCCTTACACCTCCAACACAAACAAAAACCACGAGGCCCGAGACCTGAGCTTCCCTAGATCTTCAGGCTACTCTTTGAGAACTTTTTTTTTAAAACAGAAAATGGCATCAGAAGCAGGACCCCGTGCGGTTGGAAATGCAACCCTCGCTCCCCCGGCAAACAATGACTTATCTATGCGAAGACCTATGGAGAGAACACCCAGCATGGCTATTAAGGCTGAGAAAGAGGATTTGAAGGAGGCAGCGGAAGATAGCTTTAATGTTATTCTGGATTTAAATTTGGATGGCAATGTACGATGGGTTAGTCCTTCGTGGGAAGATGTTATCGGGTAAGTTTAATTTTGCCGTTATCGAGGGTGTTTATGGCGTCCAATTGCTGACACGGAGCTTAGGACCGCCCGTGGATCGGTTCAAGATAGGCCCATCGCAGATATCCTTCTAGATGATAGAGAGGCGTTCAAGAATGCCGTTGAGACTATGCAAAATGATGACTCTAGGAGCTTTAAGGTTCGCTTTTCCGTGCTTGTGGGACCCAAGTCCAAATTGGCTAGAGATCCTGCTGCGGGTGCGGCTTTGGCATCCGAGGAAGAGGCATTCCTAATGGAAGGAGTGAGAGAAGAAGAGAATGTATTGACCCTAGAGGGTCAAGGTATTTTGATCTACGACAAAACATCTGGCGAGGCTAGTCATGTGAGTACCACGCAGCAGAATTTGGATGTTTGGACTTTATTATTGACTCCCTTTAGACAATGTGGGTGATTAGACCCTTTGTGGAACCTAACGAAATCACTATCGACCTCCCCTCAGTTCTGGTCGAGTCGCTTGGTGTTGGTGCTGGGATGCTGGCTCGTTACCTGACCAGTTTGGCAGAACAAGGTGCCGTAGACCCAGCCAACAATCCTCCGCCAATGCCCGTGCTTTGTCGGATCTGTGAGCGACAAATTCAGCCTTGGTGGTTTGAGAAGCATTCGGAGCTTTGCATGTTGGAACACAAGGCAGAAAGCGATGTTCAACTATGCCAGGAGAACTTGGGCATGCATAGACATGCAATTGTCAAAATTCTAGATGCAATGGAGCGACGTTCTTCTCGGCCAGTTTCCGGTGAGATTAGCGTTGCGTCTTCGCCAATCGAATACCGGGGGTTACCCATAGGCCCTTCGTCGTCAACTCCATCCTCCGGTACCGCTTCTCCGGCAACACCACCTTCAAGGCCTCGCGACTCCTCCGCTGGAGGATTAGGCCGTTCTCGCTCATTCCCCGCACGACGGCCATTAGTGCGAATTGTGGAGCTGCTACTCGATTTGTGTGATACTGCAATGGAGGTCAGTACACCGGCCATTAAGGAGTCCTTTGGAGCCGTTGAATTAGGAACCTTCCGTACACAATCCCCGCAATCAGAAGCGCGTATCAATCAGGTCCTTCAGTGGTCATCGCCCACCACGAATACTTTAGATGAGGAGAAAGGATTAGCGTTACTATGTCAAGATTCAGAGGCTGTTGCTAAAGCTAAGGTAGAAGCTGTATTCCGTCACCGAAACACCATCGAATACTCCGAGCGTATACGGCTGGAATTTAGTATGCTTGTCCAAGATTGTATCGACGAGGCGTTACGAAAGGCTTCTGAGTTGGCAAGTGATGCTCTGGACGAGGAGTATAGTGATGGTTCGGACATTGAAGATGATACCCCCTTTTTTGCAGCCTCATTCGGACCAGCCTTACAGAGAAATAATAGCTCTCTTGGCCCCCCACGGGGGCGTCTGAGAAGGCATTCTTCACCTGCGGAGTCGGGTTCCACGAGCCCAATGGAATGTTCTACACCCAAATCCCAGCAAAGCTTGAAGAGGGTGAATAGTAGACGGCAAAAGGCAGGGCATCGTACCAGCATGCATTTTGAGAATGAAGGGGCAGATAGTGATACGAGTGGAAGATCATCGCTTGCCGCTGCTATGGGGCATCCGCAGACAGAGAGCCCTGTCTCTGACCACGAACTGACGGCGAGTAGGATATACGCTGCCAGAGATAAGAGAAGGCAAAACATATCCATGACAGGCGGTAACTCTCCGAGGCGCCAGGCGTCGCCCGCTAGGATTGCGCCTTCATCGTCTCCACTTAGGATTCAAAAGCCTCGGTCTGTCTTGTATGACAGTATGCCCACACCAATAACCTCCCCTTTGCTTTCTACCGGCGATTTTTCTCCTGCCATTGATGCCTTTCATCATAAGCGGCAGTCCTCGGTGACCTCATCAGATCAGTTTGGCAAGCCACCAGTTTCCCCGCGGCTCTCCGGTGTAAACCCCACACAACAAAACCGTGCTGTGCCTCCCTCTATCAAAGATTTTGAAATCATCAAACCTATCAGCAAGGGTGCTTTTGGTAGTGTTTATTTGTCTAAGAAGAAGTCCACGGGGGATTATTTTGCAATCAAAGTGTTAAAAAAGGCAGACATGATTGCGAAGAACCAGGTTACAAACGTCAGGGCAGAGAGAGCTATAATGATGGTACAGGGAGAAAGCGACTTTGTTGCCAAGTTATTCTGGACATTTGCGAGCAAAGATTATCTTTATTTGGTGATGGAGTATCTGAATGGAGGTGATTGCGCTGCACTCATCAAGGTGTTATCTGGTCTTCCCGAAGACTGGGCTCAAAGATATCTTGCCGAAGTAGTTCTTGGGGTAGAGCATCTTCATAGTCGAGGAATAGTTCACCGTGACTTGAAGCCTGACAATCTTTTGATTGATCAGAAAGGGCACCTCAAGCTCACCGATTTTGGACTATCCCGGATGGGATTATTGGGAAGACAGAAGCGGGCCCAGACTCAGTCTTCTGAGAGTACCCCCGATCTGTTGAAACAAGGCCCTTTCACCAGGTCGAGGTCAGTGGCATCCTCGAGGTCCACTTCTTTTGACTTCCCTCCCAATAGCTCGCCCTCTTCTACCCCTCTTGTAACACCGGATGCCAATGTCCAATTGGTTACTCCATCATACTTCAATCTCAGTCGCGAGAATACTCTTAGCCGAGAGAACTCTTTGAGAAGATCATCTAACCCGAGAAGTGATACCAGTGGGAGCGATCATCTGATCTCCATGCTGGGCAGCTTCAGCCTCAATGATCCCCATATGCACAGTACCCTCTTCAACAATCGGAAAACCCCTACAGGAGACGAAGATGTTCAGAGTGAGAGCAGTACCTCGAGCGACTTCAGCAATGGTCTATGCCTCCAACATATGACTTCATATCCCAGCCCAGCCCAGAGCCAGATCCAGCACCCTCCCCAACCAATGATGCCGCCTCAACTCGCGCTCTTTGACCCCGAGGATAATAACCGAAAGTTTGTTGGCACTCCTGACTATTTGGCCCCGGAAACTATCAAGGGCAGTGGGCAGGATGAGATGAGTGATTGGTGGTCCCTCGGTTGCATTTTGTTTGAATTTTTGTACGGGTATCCCCCCTTTCATGCGGATACTCATGATAAGGTGTTTGAGAACATATTGAACCGGAGGATCGATTGGCCAGATCCAGAGGATGACGACGTCTCAGACGAGGCAAAGCATTTGATGAACCGGCTCATGTGTACAGACCCTAACCAGCGACTGGGTGCGAATGGCGCCGAGGAGGTTAAAAGGCACCCGTGGTTTGCAAGTCTCAATTGGGAGACTCTACTTGAAGAGCAGCCATCATTCGTGCCGACGCCCCAAGATCCCGAAGATACGGAATATTTTGATTCTAGAGGCGCAACCTTGCAGCCGTTTGTGGAGGAATTTGAAGACCAGTCTACCTCGCCTCAGGTCTTAACACCTGGTGCAGATTTGCCGCAGCGCCCACACGATGCGGTGTCCCGCACGAGAAGAGAGGTCAATTCTAACAAGCGGGGGCTCATGCCTCTTTCAATTCCTCCCCATGTCCGTGAAGGAAGGAATAGACGGCTTAGTGAACCCAATGCTCAAGATGATTTTGGTCCCTTTGCATTCAAAAATCTACCCGTTTTAGAGAAAGCCAATAAGGATGTCATCCAAAAACTTCGAACAGAGGCGCTCAAGTCCACACCGGCTCTCGCTACATCTAACCCCTCATCGCCTTCGGCGGAGGGTAGTCCTATCCTCTCCTCCAAATCATTATCCAGGACTCTATCCAATCCTTCCAAGAACGGTGGAAAACGCCCTGTTTCTCCATCAAACTTGCACCACTCCAACTCCTCCCCTGCTCGTACTTCGCAACCTTCGTCACCACTCTTGATGTCATTCACAGCGACGGGGATTAGTGAGAGAAGGAAAGCTTCTAGCGCTAGCGCATCGTCTAGTGTTTCTCAAAATTCCGGTAGCCAGCCTTCTGCAACCCAGCACCCTACAATGGCGCCACAACCGGGCCCTTTTGTTGATATACCGCGTTTGTCCACCACAAAATCGATCCAAAACTCCTCCACTGCATCCTCGCCTGTGAAGACCCAACCAAAAGTGCCAGCCCCGATATCTACCTCTACGTCTCCTACGAAATCTTCCCATGACAAGTTGCCACTAGGAAGTGCTGGATCACAACCCTCCCCATCAAAGCATCCTCTTCACCGACGAAGTGCTAACCCCCGTGTGAGGTCACTCACTATCGGGTCCACAGATAGCGAACCAGGGTGCCTGCTGGAGAGCTTTAGACACCAGAAGAGAAGGAGCCAAGTTTTTGACATCTCGCCCTCGTCTTCCGATAACGAAGACTTTAAAAGTAGCGCTCTCTTGCGGGTGCAGCGGCGACGGCAAAGCTCTAGGAGGATGTCTAACATCAGTTTGACTGAGGGTAGTCCAATGTTCCGGCCATTGGATGTTTTAGGTATGTATTCACACTCTAACTCATATCAAACCTTATTAACTCCAGTAGTGTGTGAGGATCATCCAGTCTCCAAGTTGGTTATGGAGAGGCTATTGGAAAAATTGAGATGTAGAACCATCTGTGTTGACAACGGTGCAGAAGCTATGCGCTATGCCATGGGCGAAGTAAAATGTTGCGCTTCCCAGCCTTCTAAGCGACACTATTACTGACAAATCTATAGTTGATATTATTCTTATGGAATTCAAACTCCCCCAGATCAATGGCGAAGATGTGGCGCGGATGATTCGCTCAAGCAAGAACCCCAACTCGAACACGCCAATTGTTGCAGTAACAGGATACCTCAAGGACCTTAGTGACCCTCACCACTTCACTGAGCTAATAGAGAAACCTGCAACACCAGTGAAGTTAACAGATGTTCTGGAGAGGAACTGCAATTGGAAGCCGCCCAATACAGAGCGACCAACGCTTGCTGATAGGAAAGAATCACCCAGCGCCCAGGAGCCATCCAGATCCGGGGAGGAATCCGGGCGAGTATCCCCGGGGGTCGAGAGATTTATGTCCAGTCACAGAGCGGGGCCCCGCTTTTCTGAGCAATTCTCATCTATGGATGAAGATGAAACCGCGTCTGTGGCAAGCGGTACCGAGCCTATTATGATTTCACGTTCCACGACGAATGAGTGGGAAAAGTTGTATATCGGGAAGAACTCCACCCCGAGGTCTAGTACACCACCCTCTACTACATCCTCAAATGCTCCACAGGCAACGGGCTTTGCGCACCATGAAACCGCACCACCCAGGCTGCACTCAAGCTCCATTGAACGGATGCCCTCTCCGCTGTCGACGCACATAAGCGCTGGAATGTTGGATAATATCCCTCCACCGCTTCCATCGCCGCCGGAAATGACTCCACTTCCACCATCCATAACTTCTACGCCAATATTTTCCGCCCCCACTACTGATCGCTCCAGGTCTCCGTTATCGGTTGCCTCCGTGCCCACACAGCCTAAAACACCTCCACCATCCATGGAAAGACTAAACATGTTACCCAAGATATCCTCTCCCCGAGGAACCCATAGTCCCCCCGAGGAGTTGGCGAAGAAATCACCGCCCAAAAATATCTCCTGGATTAACCCGCCTTCTCCCACAAAGACCAGGGAACCGTTTGGCCCATCGGTGATGATGAGTAGTTCTTCTCCGGAGTCTAAGGCCAAGACAAAGAGAACATCGTGGGAGAAAAAGAAGGAGAAACAAGAGAAACAGCAGAACCAACACCTCAGGCCAGAGGATGCGGATGCTGATGATGAACTTTCTACAGCTGGCGGAAAGAGACCGAGTAAGAGCAAGAGTATATCAGAAATGTTTAGTCGGGTCAGAAGAGGAGGAGCAGCTCCTGAGATGAAGAGGAGCAAAAGCGACAAAGGGGAGAGCTCTGAAGGGAATAGCGAGCTCGGAGGGGCCCTTGGAGATCCTCCCAAGATCGATCATTGACCTTTACTCCCCTTTTCCCTTATCTTGCTAATTTTTTCCTACCATTCACGAAGGGTCGCCGCTAGGATTGAGCTTGGTTTTGTTTTACTTCCCTTTGTTTCAGGTCAGATGGTACGGAATGGCGTTGTGAATGAGCGGTGTTTTTGTTTTTTTCCTTCAACGGTATCTTTTGTCTGTCTACGGTTCTGGAGGCAGGATGGTTGGTCCCTGTTTCCTTTTTTCTTGTTCGGGCAATTTCCTTTTCTCGGGTGAGGTTGTCTAAATACCTTTTTTGCGATACGGTTTCCACCAAGCTTTCACGTTCGGGTGTATGCTCACATCACAGCATTGCACACAGGGATGTGGGAAGGGGTTGGTATTTTTTTAGACCCCTTTCTCACGAAACTATCTAGTTCTATTACTATCCCTTTTCGCCGAGAGCCCTCTTATATTCCCCTCTTTTTTCTTCCCTTTCTTACCCTTATCTTTAACGTCTCCTTTTCCTTTTTTCCCCCTCATCTCAACTTCATTTGCAGACACAGGAAAGTGTCTGGGACAAGAGCCAAATCGAGCAAAGAAACGGAAGGCACCATACATACTTGGTATAGGGTAGTGCTGAAGGAAGGTCCAAAAAAGAAAACAAGGATCCGGCAAAATGGACACCAAAAAAAGGGAAAAATGGCAAACGGAGGTCAAAAGTCCTTTTTTTCTCCTTCATCTCGGAAGCCAAAAGGGAATCGCCCTACGCTTTCATCTCGATGACGAGCGGACCGGCACGGAGGGTAGTAATGAGAACGACTGTAGAACACATATATAATGAGTTCCTCGAGAAAAAAAGGAAACACTCAAAGCAGACTGTTCATTACCATGGTATGTGTGAAGGTGAAATCTAAAACGCCGGTGAAGAAAGTGACAATGAGCAAAAATCCTTCCACTCCCTCTTGAAAACCCGTATTATCGAAAGCACCCCTTTCCCCCGGCCCCCTCGCTGCCATTCTATTTTCATCCACCCAATCTCTCCCAGGCCATACAGTATAGCACGGTAACCCTACTACTTGGGCTTGATATAAGCCACCAAATTCCTCTCAAAAGCTTCACACCGAATGGGCATCTCAATCTGATAAAAGGGATTCTTCATAACGTAGTCGGCGTAGAGTTCGTAAACCCTCTTAACCACAACATCGATATTCGGTTGATTCGGTTCCGCAAAAATCAAGAACTTTGTTCCTGAAAGCACAATCAATACCCCCCCCTCCAAATTAGCCCCAGTCCCGCCGCCCCACCCCATCCCCACCCCCTTCTCCGAGAGGAGGAGCAGCAGTGGTAACATACCGGTAAGAGTCTGAAAACACTGCATCCTAAACCGATCACTCTCCAGAACCTCCAACCCCCCACCCGAATTCCGAACGGGCGAGATACGCGACGTTATCGCGTGAACGCCGTGGAACGTTCCGGCGAGGACCAGGTAGTCATTCGACGACAGCTTCTTGAGGCCTTCATTGAAGTCGCGTTGGAAGATCAAGCCGCCGGCTTTGTTGAGGATGAGGAGGGAGAGGATGACCATTTTTTTTTCTTCCCCTTTTTTCTCTCCTTGGGTGGTGATTCCGGCAACCGATCGTGCGAGCTGGCAAGTTGTGTTTGTGGGAAGGGGGTAGGCATCGCCCCAACGAACGAACACTTGGCGCACAGCACAGCACCCTACCAACGGTACAGTACACAAGCCACCGCTGGCATAGAATAAACCACAGCGCCGCACGATACAAAGTTCAACAGCTCACTCATCCACCACAACCACAACCGCAAACCAAAATCGCAAAAACACAAAAAAAAAAAAAGAAAAAAAAAAAGATGACTACCCACACACCCCTTACCCGCGCGAAGGAGCAAATCCACGGCGACGAAGAAGCCGGCACAGAACTGAAACTGGGCGAATTCCAGAACGTCTCCAGCCTGACGCTCAGCGAGACGAAGGAGGTCCTAACAGCCGTCTTCAACCACAGGCGTGAGCAAGGGAAATTCAAAGTCCCCGACAACGAGTACGTGTGCACCCCCCTCCCCGGCGCGCGTGCGCTAACGGGAGGGCAAAGCTAACGCTGGGAGTTTATAAAGGGTGGTCACAAAGACACAACAATACCTCGAAGTCTTCTCCCGCTTCAAACAGCGGGAGAGCGTGCAAGCTGTTGAACGCATCCTGGCACTGCAGACCGACCTGGTTGCCTTCGAGAAGAGTCAGTTGGGCACGCTTTGCTGTGATACCGCTGATGAGGCCAAGGTGCTCATACCCAGTATTGAGGGGAAGAAGAGCGATGAGGACTTGCAGGAGTTGTTGGATGAGATTACAAAGTTGAGGCAGTTTGTTTGAGCGATCTAGTTGTTGGGGGGACAACGTGCTGAGGTCTAGAGGGGAGGATAGACAGTGGGGGAAATCTTCGGGTTCTGATTAATTTCTTCTTTCGCCCTTCTTGTGGGTGTTTTGCTTTTTTCTCTCTTCCATCTTCAAATTTTCTGGCTGTTAGACCTTACCTCTCCCCCTCTTATATTCTCTCTTTCTACCCTCCCTTGCTTGACAAGTCAATGCGCACACTTCTTTTATTCCCTCCATTCTCTTTTTTTTTTTTTTTTTTTTTTCAAAAAAACCCCTCAACTCGCGATCATAATATAATAACGGTATGGCGATATATTACCCGTTCGCCAAAACGAGTGCTTTGCTTTATTTACTGTACCAGCACCAACCCATCCATCCCCAGTCCCACAGGACTTAAAAACAATTTACAGACAACCTAAATATAAAAAAAGTAAAGGGAAAGGAAAAGGAAAAGGAAAAAAACTCCAAGATAGCCAAGAGAGCCCTATCCATTTTCCCCGCCAAAAAGTAAAATGTTAATATAGATGGAACCCAGCGCACCACCAAACAAAAAGAATAGTTTCCCCTATTGTCCCAGACCGGGTAGACAGACAGATAGATAGATAGATGCGAGATATCAACAAAAGAAACCCAAAGCATGCATGAGACCCCCAATCCCTTCCTTTTTCCACCCCAAAGGACCCCACAAAAGGAAATAAATAGTATGATAAACGAAGACGCACTCAGCCAGAGGGTTAGGAAAGATTATACAAGAAAGACATCAAATCAAAATCAGGTCGGAAAATAAAACACAATTATCCCCCAAACTCCAGGAATTCCGATAAAGTCGATAAACAAAGGGAAATGATAACGGTATTGTGTACATGTCTCCGGATCGGATAAAATTCGCCCGGGTAGACAAATAAGTTTAAAACTTTCGATCGACTCGAAGGAGAATATCCTTCATTGCTTCTCCAAATTCCCGAAGACATCGGACTTCATCCGCCGTGAAAGGCGGCCGGTGGTCTCCCTCATCTTTGCGGGTGAATGCTGCCAATACTATTCCACCAGTGCAGGTTGTCTCGCTCTGTTGGAATCCTCCCCCGATCGTAGTAGTGGCTGAAGAGTAGCCCTCATCCGGGCTATTGTCAATCCCATCTCTCAATAGAGGCAGCAGTATGCCCGAACTGAATCCAACATCGTCCTCATCCTGAGACTTGGCGGGGTTTTGGTAAACAAGTCCTCCCACACTTCGAAGCGCTCGCAAATGCAGATTCGCATCAAAGACAGGAAGAGGGTTAGGAAGTCCATGTGCGACAAGAACCTTGGTGTGAAAGTTATCACCAGCGTATTCTTGCTCGAATGGAAGGATCCTGGGCTCTTGCGAAGTGACTGGAGACACTCGAAGAAGATAGACAAAATCGTAGTTTAATGATCGGGCAATGATGGAAGTAGCAAAAGAAGACTCAGCCAAAGATGTAATTGGCCCAGAGGAAAACGGTATGTGAAGTGGAACCTCTCGTGGCCCAGGTGTCTGGATTGGCGGAGGTTTTCGCTGCTTGTAATGCGCCCGGCGGTCGGCAGACCAGCCCTCTGGGGAATCTGGAGAGGAAGCCACATCAACCGAACCCGGAGGAGCAGTAAGGCTCAAAGGACGCGAGTTGTTGGTAGTGAAGGAGAAAGGTCTGCTGGGAGTATGCGGGGGAGTAGGCATATCAGAGATCTTGGCAGAAGTCCTGCTATTTCTAGCATCCTCGGGCTCTACTGGGATGTTGATAGTTGGGAGCCTTCCCCCAGGGCGAATGGCTGCTGGTCGGTTTACTGGTGTCGGGGCATCACGCTTCCGAGCTGTTCTTGAGCTCGCTGGGTTCTGGGCAAGCTTGGGAGAAGAGGACTTTGGAGATACAGGAGTTCCATCCCTCGAAGTCTTAGGCCAATCACCCACAAGTGATTGTTTATCTTGCTCATGCAATACTCGCAGATCAATGATGGGTGTGGGAGTCCGTCGACTAAGCATATCACGTTCCTCCATAACATTCTCGATCTCAGTCATGGCAAGTCTAGCGAAATCCATCAGCTTTCGCCTCTCACCAACGCCGAAGGAATCCCGTGGCGTATCATCGAATACCGAAAATGCTCCGATAGTTCGCCCGTCAAAAGTGATAATTGGGGCACCAGCGTAAAATCGAATATACGGTGCGCTCTTAACTAGCGGGTTCCCTTTTAATCGCCAGTCCTGGGGAATTATTAGCGTCGGTCTGCACATGACTTTGATTGTTACACACCTTTGTAACATCCAGTACAACCATCGGCTCATTTGACAACAGCACGTGAGCCCCAATGCTCTCATTTCGGTCAACATATTTCCTATTGAGCGCATGCTCGGCTTTGAAGATCTCAACGGTTTCATCGATCAGGCTTATCGAAGCCATCCTTACATTCAAAACTCTCCTGGCAAGGAGAACGAGGCGGTGGTATTTGTCATTTGCATCTGGGGGCAATGAGACGTTGCAGGCATTGACAGCCTATCAAGTGTTAGTCATCAAACCACTACTGCAGCCGACCAAGCATGCATACCTCCAGTCTTAGCTTCTCATTCGGTGGCAGTGGAGCAGTAAGATGATTGAAGTCAGGTCTCCGTGGCGGTGGGTCTGGGGGATTCGATACATTGAATCGTCCCTCCGCATAACACTTGATGAAAAAGCCCCACTCCTGAACGTATTTGCCTTCCACTGCAGCCTCCCTTGCAGCCTTTTCTCGCTCCCGGATGCCCCTCGCATTCACTTCCCTCTCCCTCTCAGGGCTCACTCCACTATCTACTGACCGGCCAGCAGGCCTCGCGGCTGCAGCCTTGCGAGCATGGATGAAACCATCTCTGCCGGTCACTACACTCCCATCGAGGTGTGAGTAATTTGTGGAGCTTCGAGGTCGTAGCTCATCTCGTGCATACGGCTTTGAGAGAAGAGGGTGGGTATGTGGGGAGGGTGGTAGAGCGAAGAACTTATTTTCATGTCGTGCATATTTCTCGGACAGGTCGAAGGTTGAGTGCGAAGCTGGGATGGTTGCCGCTCTGGGCTTACCTCTATTGAATAACCTTTTGAGGAAGGACTTATCAGTTGGCCTAGTTACAAGTGATGAAGCTGAAGAGTCAGAGAAGGCTGAATATGGACCCGTTGAATAGATTGCCATGTTGGCAACTTGGTTGGAAGATGAGGAAGAATGGAAGAAAGCGAGAAGTTTCCTTGGTGATGATGACGACAATGTCGGAGTGTCCGTCCGTCCCAGCAGCCTCGCACCTGATGCTGTCGAATCTTTCCGTCGCGAGGGCTTCTTAACGCCAAACGAGAGGGGGTTGAAGTTATCCACGATGAAGGAGTAAGAATGGGCGGTGGGAGCGGGTCCGGAATTATAAGAGTGGGTACCACACGGCGCCATCCACTTTTCCCTCCCCTTCGACCCCTTGGCTCTGGGTCTTGCCTGCTATGTGTGATGCTCCGAGCAAGAAAAAGAGGCCTGAAACCCGCACGGATGCTTCCCGATACCCTGGGATCCCACTCCAAAAAGGCCTAACTCCAAAATAAAAACTCGAACCAGTTGAATGCCGATACGTGGGGGGTCCCCCTGTATGAACCTATTTTTTTATTTTTTTCCTTTCTGTCTTTGGGATCTCCCAGATCTCTCTCCTACTGTAAAATGCGCCCTATTCTGACGATTCTTTGGGTCCTGGGTTTCTTATTATTTTATTTTTTCCCTTTCTCCCCACCGACCACCCCCAACCTCACTAGTGTCCCCCGTGACGCTTTGATGAAACCCAATTACAGCCTGCAAATGGCTCACGGGCAGCCAAAACACGAGACGTCCGTAATTCAGGTATGAAAAAAACACTGCGGGAAAGGGAAAAGGAATCGAGAGGGAGTTTTAGGGGGAAAAAAATTACGATTCTCGGTGAAGGAGAGACTCCCCAATTGGCGGATGCTGTCTATCTTCCTATCTGTCCGTTTTGTCTCTTGTCTGCCTAGGTTTGTCTTGAGTTAGCACAAAAATGGGAACAAAAATAGAGTCCGTGAAGGACAAGGGGAAGGGGAAAAAAAAAAAAACTCCAGGCCGCGCACTTACTTTTCCGCTCAGTCGTAAGCAAATCAATCCAAAAGACTGGCCGGGTCCCTGGTCTCGTGTCCCGAAAACTTGGAAACCTGAATTCACCCGACACCGTTGCATATAAGATCAACAGAGAGGTGAGGGCACGGGGGAGAGGAGCAGAGGTCTGAATGGAGAGAAAGTGAGCACTATGCTATGCCTATGATATGCAAAGCAGGGGGGGGTGTCGCGGTGAACTGTGTAAGAGTGGGTGATGATAAAGGAATTTGGAAGACGTTGCCTGCCCGTCCGTATTCCCTGATAGGACAGGTTTTCTATGCAGCCGCCAACTCAATCGAGTGAGCACGAGCACACAGGACAGAACAGTGCCTCTCACGTCAAGTGAGTGGGTGAGAAGGGAAAAAAGGGAGGTACGGTAGGCAATACGGTACTGTAGGGTAGAACCAAGATCAAGGAGCGAACGGTAACGAACGGCAGATATGAATGGAGTACGGCACAGTGCGGCACGAGTATCAAATCACAGTCCAGACGCATTCATGTCCTCCGATGATAATAAATCCAGCTATTCATCTGTATCCCTATGCAGTCAACAAAGGAAAAGTGTGGGGGAGAGGGGGAGGGGGGGGCAGGACAAGGAAATGGCAGATAGGGCAACTAACAGGCCCAGCGCCATGTTACCGTAAGTTATCATGCTCTTTTGAGGAAGGAGAGATTAGGAGGAAAGCGAAGCCACTTTATTGGGGAGAGATGGCAAGGGGGCGATGGTAGGGATGAGTGGTACAAGTGACATTTTTCCATTCATTTTTTCCCCTTTGCCGGGCCAGTCAAGTTGAACTTTGCCAGTTTCGCTGAGGATACTTTCCCCCCTCCATACTGTGTGGTGCTGGGCGGATACAACTACAAGTACGAGTACAGTAGTGTGCTAACTAGTTTCCCGTGGCCCTTGCTTTGCTTGTAACGGGATGTGATCTGGCTATTATTGTGCTGGTTACAATCAATGAGGTACGGTATAGACAGGACAGTACGGTAGTGTATCGTACCTGACGTCCATCGTTGGTTGGACAAGGGAAAAGCAAAAATTGGGGGGGGAGCACTCCACTTCTCCCCGAACTAAACAACCAATATCCTAGCAAAGCAAGTACCTATATCATAATTTACACAGTTCAATACGCATGAAGGGGGGGAGTACTATAATCCCCCAAAAAGCAAACAACTGTCCAGTCTATTGGTACTCGTACCAATAATTGGGAA